GCCAATTCACAATCCCTGTGGTTTGAAAATATCATCATACGTACCCCGATTATGGATTTTCTGAATCTAGAAAAGCTATTCTACGTCGTCTGTGACAATTCAGTCTTTGCCATCAGATGTTCTTTACTCCATTGAGATTTCAGTAGGCATATGTGGAGATTGCGAATCATCCTGACGAAAAAGAGCTAATTTTCCACAACGAAAAGCCACTTGCGACCTGAACCATCATTGTCACGTTAATAGTGTTTGTGCTTGACTTTATGCCATCTACGATATATATAATCGTGCCTCAATGTGCACAACGCCTTCACAACATCCTACACTAAGATTGGCAAGATAGTTTTCCTTCTTGCCGAGTATAATTTGAGGTAAGGTCGGGATATTATATGCTTTACGTCGCTTGGTATGTTGCCGAAAACTGTGGGGTTTGGAGATTCCGAGCCCAGCCCATTGCCATACGTATTGCGATCTAATTCCTGATTGCATGGATTGCTATTGACGTTTGAAGTATAATAATTCCGGAAATGTGGACCTCAAATACAAGACACTACAAGGCACATTGAATGAAAGCGACATACAGCTCGGTTGAGCGTTATGAGTTGGCGGTCGGATATGCATAAGTTGCTAAGCACATTTGCGCACGCCTGAGATATTCCAGCGGATTTGATCCTTGCCACTTGCGGAGGTTAGTGCCTTTGGCCACACCGCAAGTTTCAGCAAAGTGTTGGCTGTTCCATACGACAAGCCAAACTATAACTGCATCATATTTTTAAGAAGCGTCTCATCAACAAGGCATAACTCGCTGCTGTCAGCGATACTAAAACCGGTGAATACAGCTTAGCTGTTGGCCGCCAAAATATTCTATTATATTGCCTGCTAGTAGCCATTTAATGGATAGAGATCGGCCTTACACAGCGAAGTTCGGGTGAACATTGCTCAAGGTGCTAGGCACCAAATCGGACATGTCAATTGTCGACCACCTAGAGACAAATAGTCGGACGGCACGCGTTACTTTCATGGTGAAGCGTGTCCACCAAAGCATTTGCGTGGACAAATCGCAATGCTAGAGCGACTTCCTCTTGACCACTGGCTTTACGTTGGATAACGCAATGTACACAATTACAGGCTTTACGTAATTTCTATAGTGAATAGTTTGGTTAGCTATCAAGTTTCTTGGATCACCACCAAGTGGATATGATGTCAGTGAGGAGGGTCGTTAATTTGATTTGACTTACTGACGCCAGCCTGGCTACACTTTGCAGCAAAACCAGTGATTTACCATAATGAGATTCAGTGTCAGGCGCAAGGGTACGCGACGTTATGACTGACCAGATTGTCAAAAGCAAAATGTAGATGGCAATAAACTTTGGTTATGTAGTAAGACAAAAAAAACGTTTTATTACATGCATTTACCCTTTCTCCATCTGCACTGAGTACTAACCGATAATGGTCGTAACCAAACAAGGATTGAGGTATATTCTTAAAATCTGAATAAACGCGAACACATGCTGAAGCCATTCTTTATGGATTACACATTGCACACATACTTTCGTCGTGAGCAATCTTTACATCATGAGACATAAAGAAGCTTACGCAATAGTAGAAGCTCGCAGTTAGAACCAAGTTAACATTTACTGGTGGGTCATGTGTTGCCCATGAGCTTTTAAAACGAGATTGTCGTAAATTTTCATAACACTCGAAACTTGTTTTTCATCTTGAATAACAAAACGAAGATTTCTTAAAACCTTTTTACGAGAAAAACCGTGAGAAATCCACTTTGAAAAGAGCTTTGTCAATTTCTCTGTGGAATGTGGGTCACCTGGAGTCGAAGACGCCAAATTAGCAACTCGTTTATCGTTTTCGACTGCGAACTTATTGACAACCTTGCCTTCGTCAAGCGAACCAAGAAGCCATGTCTGCATCTTCCGGACTAACTCGCCATAGAGGCCCAAGATGCGCTGTACTTCATTTTTTTCAATCTCAGCATCTTCAAGGATTTTTTGCACTCGCTGGCGAGAGTAGTAGGTGCGGATCCATTGCTTCAGGAGAGGCATCCAAGACAGTAAAATAAATGTTGTGTCAACTGGACTAGTATCAAATTCAAATCGCTTGGGTTTTCGACCGTTTGCAATAAAGTTGGCAGCACGGATGTCTTTAAAAGATTTCAATTGTTCGGGAAGAAACGTGGAGTCGGGATATAGAGACAACAGCTTCACATTGTCCTTCGAAACCAGATCAAACCAGAGATCATCGTATGAGCGCAAGACGGGTAGAACATTAAAGTCTCCATAGCCAGCTGTACGAAATATCACTTCCACCTCATCGCGTGTAAACCCGTATCGAACCAATTCGTTCAAGTGAAACTGCATATCGACCGAATTTTTTACAATTTTTCCCTCTTTTGGCTGAAGCTTCAAAGCGGTGTATAAGGCTAATCGAATGTAAGGGTTCAAGCTGTCGGTCTTGTCCGGAAACGGAATATCGACCGGCTTCTTCTGCTCCAAAATTGCCTTGTTCTTGAGAAATGTTGACCAAAGATTACGCATCGTGTCCAGTTGTGTCTCGTCGATTGTGGATTGCATGTTGTCCAAGAATTTGGAATATTGATTCTTACTCCAGGGCTGAGTTTGTTGATGGCCAGAGTTTCGGAAGATTCGGGACTTCTTGGCCGTCTGTTGCGTTATTACTGTCGACAAGCCGGTACGAGAAAATGTGTCACTTAGTGGAGACTGAAGTCTACAACGTGGTATCCTCTCTTCGTCATCAATCGTTTGTTTTTGTTTTTGTGCTTGTGAATCTTGTGTCCTTAGTTGGCGACCAGTTGGTTCCCGTTTATTGCTCTGGAAAGTTTGAGTCGAGACGGAGAATGCTGCTGAGACGTTGATAACTAGAACCATGGCAGCAAGAGAATGCAGCATGAAGTAGAAAGTTGGTACGCGCATAGTGATCGTGACTGAATTCGTTGCAGAAATGAGTTTTGAGTATGACTAAGCGAAAATAATAAATGACTGGATTCTATAACAAATCGACATGATGTATGTGGTCTACACTACTCTGCAGATCAGATAAGATAGAAACCCGGAGCAATGATAGATTAAGGATTTGATCAGACCATCAACATGCATGACATTTTTGAACGCACTGTTCCTACAGTCTTTGTCGTATACTACTCGCATTACTGCAGAATAGACTTTGGGATAATATACATTAGAACTCAATATTTCGTTTTACCCTCAAATTAATAATTTTAAGTACGGCAAATACGTGAACTTTATCACGTAGGAATTCTCATTACCGAGATTTGGTTTCCAGGACATGCCCGATCTGTGTGCATCCTTCCTTACCTATGCGAATTTCTGAAGCAGGGATGCACCCACGTATTAATTGGACGAAGGTGTCAAGTATATTCAGCTCCTTTCCCATCGTGCTCTCTTTTGATATAAGTCGTCACAAAGTCAGCGCCGATCTAAAGATGACGCCGCTCAATTATGTTAGAGAACAATCACATCCATAGGATAAACATATGTTTGTGCATAAAACAAAGTCAGAACTTTAAATCCCTACAAGAACAAATTTTTAAATTTTACAGAACATCATTACGGTATGATAGTTTGACAAAGATATGGCAACATCCGGATAAAGACATAAGAACAGAATCATTGACTGGGTTTTATTCATCCATATGGGGCGGTAAGATCATCGAATTTGTGGCTCACGCTCTTCCAGCTCGCTGCTCTTCCTGGTTCAATTCGTTTTCCTTCTAGTAATATAGTGCCTTTATACGTTTATGGTCAAAATTTATCGATGTTACCGTTTATTTGACAGTGCGATTGAGAGCGTCTTCAATTATGCTCATAGATTTTATAGCTGCTATATGTGTGTGTTTGATTGGCAATACATGTGAAAAGTTTTGATTACAAATATTTCCAGTAAGGTTCCATTTTATCGAATGAAAGCGTCACGAACGGCTCTACAAGTGAATATACAGAGTTTATTGACTTTGATTAAAAATTTCGTTCTGCTGGCTTCCCATGGGAGAAAATTGGACTCCATCGGTCATGCTCCCACTTATCAGAGCATGCACCGCGATGATGCTTAACTTGATAAAATCACTCATATCATTCGGATACTACACAAATAGAGGATTAACAACGCACATCCCATCATTTGGTATTATGGAGAAGATGGCAACAAAGTGACTGTATCATACAAGGTCCTTAGTTAGTTACTTCAGGATGTAACTAGACTAATCTAGACTAATGAACGGCTACCATTTTGTCTCTAATAGATTACCAATAGCCACGACAGTAACTGAACCGTTTACTGTAATTTTTGTAACGCATTTAGTGGTCGTGAAAGCGACGATCAAGACAATTTACTTGATACTACGAGCTAGTATATTTCTGCAAGTCATAAGTGAAGTCATAACCCCGTAAGCAATTATACTGAGATTCCACACTATAGTCTACGCAATTTGTTCCGCCTAGAAAGAATAAAAGTAGTCTTAACAGTCCATGTTTGACATGCCATTTAACTAATTGAATCGAATGTATTGTCAGCATAGCGTATGTAAAATAAGTGATCACAATTATTTGATAAATTTCTATTTATAATTTCTAACTCGGTACATAATTTGCTCTCTGAAATTAGACTATTTTGATATACTGAGCCTTTTAATAGATAGAATATTATTCATGTGTCTCAATGCAAGGCTTGAAATGCTTTTACAAATCCATAACTCCCTAATTGATAAATTTGAAAGGATGTATACTACCAGCTAAAAATGTAGTAATCTAAGAGCCTTGAAAGTAATAAAAAGTAATATTTTTCAAAAGTGATAATAAATGTCCAAACAATATTAGCATAGCATTAAGTAATTCTGATATCAAAGTACAACTTGATATTCATATTAAGCCGCGGAAAAACAGTAGCAAATATCTCTTTAACATTGTAATTGAAAAGTACTGAAATGCTCTGAATATATCAAACTTTGAGCAGAAAAGTTTTCTAAATGAAAGCCCTGTCATCTTGTTACGCCGAATAGAGGCAATCATAGTACTGGTACTAGTAGTGATTAGCCTGACTACACTGATCGACGTTCGAGTCGCTGTTAATCGCAATGCCGTGCATATTGTGTTCTCCAACATCGCGGCAGCTTTTGTTAAATATAGCTGCCCTCAATAAAATATTTGCCACCCGGACACGCCGCGTTCTGACCTGTTGTCATGCATTTGAGCTAATGGCTTGGCCGTATTTGCGTTGCGTTCAGTAAATCATATTTGTAAGAAGAACAAAAGTGATGAATATCAAAAGCTCCGTAACTCAGTGCTCCTGTACTTGAAAATCGAGGCTGCTTAGCAAATTAATCATGTCAACAGAGCCAATACTCAGGCCGCACGCTCACGTTCGACACGCTCATCCCACTTTCAGATAAATTCTTCATCGTCGTGCTAGGTCTGCAGCGAGCAAGTCGCCAGTAACCTCTTGAAAGGATTTGATGCCTACAGCTAAGTTCGAGCTCAATTTCTCGACTTGCCCCGAGGCTTTTATTATAAGACGTTAACGTCTGCAATCAAATTATGCTAGGTAGATTGTCCACTCGGCTAGATCTGTGGCACTCAGTCGATATTTTACTTTTTGAATGCTTTCAAGCCCTCAGCCCATGCACTAAAGTTTGGGTTGAAAGGTTTTGTCGTAAGTCGTTGTTGGGATCGAAGACCGGTGCACAGGCGCGATAGAAAAAGTTTATTGGAGCCGCCATTGGCCCTAAATAAACGACAAATGGGCGAGGAGCTATATAATGAAACCTCGTACAACTCATTGAGGGGGGTGTTCATGGAAACTGGTGGTGCTACTCGCGGAATTTGGTTTCATCCCCTCATTTCGATCGCTTATCGCATAGATCTAGCCAAAGGGGCCCCTCACCTAGAAGGGCAACCCGACTTGTGAGCATTCACTTCAGCTTGATGAAAAGGGTATAGAGTCTTTATGTTACTATTGACAAGATTGTGGTGGTCTTTAAAGTTTTTGCAATCATCAACAGTCGCTCGCATGGAATGGGGCGCCACCTTAGCGGTTGTTGCGCTTAAATCTACTGTTCAGCTTTTGCAAAGCAAAAGTGAAAGGAAATCACCTGACGAGATTGATGCCACGACAATGATCTCGCCATGCTACCAACAACGGATTGTCATAAAGTCGACGTATAGATGGTTCCAGGACGAAGACGGGCGCCAGTTACCGTTCTCTCTTCTCTCGGACAGTATGGAGTGCAGGGACGCTACCTAAACTCTCGGTAAAGTATATCCTTCCTGTAAACACGAAAGAGATAAGCAAAACGGTCAAGGTCAATCCAACGAGTGGTCATTTGCAATTCTCATCACCTATCCAGGTTCCAATTTCATACTATATTGATGTGAAAGACTTTTTTTGGCTGGTGATTGTAACAGCACTAGCCTAATTCAAATGGGACCGCAAAGTTGCGTAGTATATACATTGCTTCATCCAAACTTCATGTCGTAGAATCAGCACAAGTGGCGCGCACTGCAACAATTGAGAGTCGGTACATAGTCGCTCAGGATCAACCCATATACCCCATTATGACTAACTACTAGCAGAGCATATAGGTTTATTGCTCATTTCGAATCTACTGCCCTTCACGTCGTACTTGGTAAATTAAACGTTGCCATTGATCCATCACGAGTTCAGAATATAGGCTAAAGTCACTGATACGTTTCGATGATAGCTATTTGTCTGGCTTGCAAGCTTCTGCATGTTTACGCTTTCCTGACGTTTAGGATCGTTTCCCAATTCGACCGACTCGACTAGATTTTTCTTCCTCATACATGCATGGGCTGATGTTATGTTTTTGCAGCAAAGATTTTTCAAGCCCCTCACTCAGGCGACCACCTGGTTAAACGTATCTCTTTTGAAGAGGCTAAGCGCCGGTCTACGGCAGGATACTGGGGACTACAACTTGATGCGTTGACCATCGATTCAGTACACAATATCATTCAAGGCAGTCGACAGTTGGCAACGATTATCCACTCGATTTTCAACCCAGGATAGGAATGGGAAGGCTGAAAGCAGTGGATTTGCTTGCAACTAAAGCTAGCTCAAGCTTACAATACAGCGGACTTGTTTACCCATGTCATCAAGGATATTTTGACGTTCGATGTAACCTCTTGGAGCCTTTTCCATGGTACGCAACAGTACGGCATTCCCGGCTGGTTGTTTTTTGCTTTGGAGTTTATTTTGCAAGTGATTCCACCTTGACAAGATGATGCTGTGCTGCATCTGAGTATCTAAATGTTGACAAGTTCAGTCTTTATCCTTTCACATAGTATCTCTCTGCACGTCTGACCCGCGCATGGGTATTGCCACTCCGGCTGCTTTTACATGATAGGGAATTTTGATAGGGTACGGAGTAATGGATGCATCAGTGTGCGCGGCTTTTAAGGCGCAAATCGGGACGCGATATGCCCAGTGGGTTTACATATAGAGGTCAATTTTTGATTCTACAAACCATGTTTATATTAGTTCTTCAACTCTTCGCGCATGATTTTACGTTTCTATTCTTTAACCGCTTTAGTCGATTTGTACGAATATTTTTGACTCGATAGATGATTTCTGATTTTGTTTGCCAAGCCATGAATTTCTCATACCCCATTCAATCATGGTGACCTCCATATTCTCTGCGCGCCTAACGCGTACGGTCAAGTAGAGCAGCAGCTCTCTTCTAAGGATAAAGATAAGCTTTGGCAAGCTTGACTTGCAATACAACTCTCCATCACCAGTGGTGAAGATTGCTTCACTCAGCCCATTGTAGTTCTTTACGCTGGGAGGTTGGTCAACACCACACTGCCTGTCACTCCATGATCAGATAAATTCAGTACATACTCGGTCGTCTCTGCTCCACGCGTATGTATGGCATTTTACACACTCCATTCGTGTACTGCAACGAGATGGTCTCACACTTTTTGGTTCAGCCAGGGCTACATACTGATTTCGCTCGCGGTTATCTTGCGAATAATCTCCATGGTACCGGCTGCGCCATTTGCTGTAGGTCTATCAAAACATCACTAGCACTCTAACAAGGAGTACAGGGTCTCACAGTCTTCATGTCGGCGTTCAATCCCGTATTATAACGTAACCTTTTAGCGGCGCAAGTTGGACGAATCAGTAAGTGCTTTTCCCAAACACCACCAAGCAGGACTTGCGTCAAGTAACTTTACAAGCTGCAGTGGCGATCTTGAAGGTCCTTCACCACGCTTCCTTTCCTGGCTGAGGAAATAAGTCGCTGCTACAGGTCGGGTTGCCTTTCAATAATGCTACCAGCCGTCTCTTTTTGAAAAGTAATTCCCACGTGATAGCCCTTCCACTATCTCGGTCGATAAGCACTCGTAGTTTATCCTGTGCACATCCTGACTGCGTCGCTAATCTACTAGACTACCCCAATCAGTAATTCTAATCGGGCCAACTTCCATGCTTCTTAGGCCAGGATTCATCTCTTTTGTTGCTGATCATTCGATCGAACATCTCCATGCTCTTTGTACTGCATGAAACAATAACCATTATGAAAACTAATCCTCTTTTGATCCTGCCATAGCATGTTACCGCGTTAATTCTTGGTCATCCATTAATAAGCATAACTCCCTTAAAGCTTGCGGCATTTTCCTCCATCAAGTCGACTGAGCGTTTTCTTAGTGAATCACTCTTCGAATGTTTGCTATCCTTCACAGTTTTACCTCAAGCTCCATTCTTTGTTCCAGAGAGCTCATGTATTTTCCCATCCGATTCTGCATCTTTGAAATCTACAAGCCTTGGGTCTTGAACGCGAGATAACTTTAGACATAGCAACGTATGGCTACCACTCGAAAAGCAGGGAGATGACAGACGGAGTCTAAATTCTACACCGTTTGTATTGATGTCTTGCTGTTTGTCATTGCAAAAGCTGGCTGTATCAAAAACTTCTCGAAGTAGATACAGAACTCAATACGCGCCGTTCCCCATAGCTGATGAACATGTCCTTAAATTCAGTGCACGCTGGCGTTAGAGCTCACTAATCATGATTGTCGCGTCAAATTCACGAGGCTCCCCCCGAAGAATTACATTGCGTGTCACTATACAACTCCAGATCTGGGTTGAAATTTGGCATTTTCATGACGGAACTTTCTTCAAGCGTCACCTTACGAGGTGAGGGCTGTAGTTAAAGCTTCTTCACTTTTTGCGTTGGATCGACGTATCTCGGCGTTTGTTGTGGTCAATGGTAAGGCTAGCGATGTGATTATTCGTCGCAATATATACTTTCTTCACGATGCTATTCAATCCAGTCGATGTCATATTGTGTATATCGTCTTTCCTAGTTAGCCGAAAATATTCAAACCGGATTGTCGACCAACATGTCATCTGAATGTTTTGATGGAATCATTTTAGCCAACGAATCTGTTGTTTCTCAGTTTTGAAAGAGAGCTCGAAAGGCGAATAATAGCTATTCTTGTAGATTTAGTTTCAGCATATTGCCGATAATGCTGACCCACAAATTTGGCTATATATGCAAGCGTCGATATCAATCGCAGGAGTACTGCGTACAATTCTAGACGGATATATCTAACTTCGCCAAACCAAAAGTACAAATCTAATTACAACAGCAAGCTATCCCAAGCAGCATTGATCATCTACTGTCTGTCGGAGGTGGTTGTGGACAGTACTATCCAATTCACAACAAATCAAGTTATCTCTGAGCAGTGAGGCCAGTACGTTTGAGCGTTGTAAGAGCGGCGGTAAATTGAATTCGTCAACGTAGGACCTGCTCGCTTGTAGTAAAATCTATCGACTTTGTGCACGTTATCTGAACTCAGAGTTTTTCGCCATGTCTTTATTAGAACTCTTCAAAAATGTGCACACCCAGCAGTTTGGATGTAATTGAAGGCACTCGTGAGAATCTGTAAAGAACGATAACGCATCTCTAAGCTCGTGCCCTCAGCCTTGCACAAAATTCACCCAGCATGACACTGCAATTTCTAATCACTCGGCATCTCAAAAAGTAACACCATCTAACGTTCATAATCGTACGAAGATCTTCACCCTTCGCGATGACAAAGAAAAACCCGTAAATAGAAGCAATCCACACATTTTTTAAAGCCGCTAAAAAAATTGCGTTGGATCCAGTTTAATGTTTGCATTTCAACGAAACAGCTTATGGACATCCTTGAGTGTAAAAGTTTTACCAACTTGAGCATCTAACTCTTTCTTGTCATACACTTCAATGAGCACCGTCAGCATGATACATTTGTCGTGATCTGAGATCTAACCAATTTAATTGTTCACTTTATAGGTGTCGATTTGCTTCCCTCTAAGGTGGACGATATGACCCATGCGTTGGCTCTGCACCGAGAAGTCGAACAGACGCATATGCTTCAACGAGCGATATGTACGTTACTATAGGAAGCAAATGACTGTTATTGGCTCAAGTCTCTATCTCTCCCGGAGAATGGTTTTGATTGTTGTTTAGAATACATCGGATCATTTGTAGACATAATGATACTTGACGGCTGTGATAGCAGGATTCATCTCAAAAATTGATATTGCAACTAAAGATTTGAAAAAGCATACAATACCCACCGAAACTGGGGGTATCGGATGTTAACCACTTATGCAATTCGTGTCAAACGCTTGAAAGGCTCTAAATGTTAAAAAAAATATTGTTATGACGACGCTTATAAGAAGATAAGCCTGCTAAGTGGAGCTGAATTTGCACATCATTTTAAGAATCCATTGGTGGTCAGTCCCCGCAACACTATGAAGATCATTGTCGTCGGCTTTGGTATCAGTGGTATCTCTGCCGCCTACCATCTCGTCAAAGATGGTCACGAAGTTATACTGCTCGAAAAAATGCGATGCTGCACACGTACGAGATGGAAACTGACGGCGAGATGGTAGATTTCGGCTTTATGATGTTTGGAGACTCAAACCCCAAGATCAAAAGTCGTTTGGCATCAAAACACAGCCGGACGGAACGACAAAGAAGCGCATTCCTATGAGCCTCACAGTCACATCGG